TTTGGCTGGGGGGGGAAAAGTTTTTTGGAAAAAAAAAATGGATGCTTTTAAAAAAAAAAAAAAGGGCGTTTCATGAATAGGCAGAGGTTGACTCGACGCACCTTTGTGCCTTCGGCCAGGGCGAAGCCTCCGCCCACCAGAAGGGCCACTTTCCACGGCATGGAGGCCTGGAACTCCTCCCAGGAGATCATACTCTCTGGATGGACACGCATCATCATCCTCATCACCTTCCTCACATTTGAAAGTTTGAGCCGAGAGCGCTCGCACCATATTTCCGCGAGGGTCCGTGGGCGGGCACCAGGAAGAAGAGGACTCCCAGGACCAGGGCCACGGTGGCGTCGGTCACGTAGCCGGCATGACTACGAGGTGGGAGCGAGACGAGCCGAGTCAGCGATGGGCGCGGGGGGGAACAGCTGTCCACAAACTGCGAACTCACCGCGGGAAGAAGGCGGCCCAGCCCGGAACGAAACCCGGCGATCGCGTCAACCACAGCAAGACCATCAGGCAGAAGACCACCTGAGTGAACACCTCCTGACCACTGAGCGAACGGATGAACACGTGAACCTCGGTGCCGGGGCATGAACGGGTCATCGAAGGCCACAAATGAAGCCATGATCGGCTTTCGGTTGCGATTCATTGCCGCCCGACAACGTGAACGAGCGACTAAAGTGATGGCGTTCATGAATATGAATGGCCAAATGAACGACGGATGACATGAATGGATGAACAGATAACTGACGATAGCATTCATGCTGAAATGAACAAGAGGGAACGTGAACGCCCGAACCTAAAATCGACTAAGACTAAGCAACCGATACCATTCACGTTGAGATGAACCGGTGGCGACATGAATAAACAACTCAACAATTTGTGAAATGAATGAATGAATCATTGACAGAATGACTGGATGAACCGGTGAGTGGACACATGAATTTCGAAACGACGTAAAAGTATCGATTTGTGAAATGAAGCCAGCGTGAAACGGACGAAAGAGCGACTTAATGGACCGAAACGAATGAACAAGCGAGCGAGCGCTCACCTCATGGGTCCCAGCGCCGCATACTCGTCTCGGATGACTTTTCTTGCGGCTTTTTCCCTCTGGGAGAGTTGGCCTCGGCATCGCCATAGCAACCGCAGGCTAGGTCGGACGAGAGATGGAGCGTTCAGCCGCTCGGGCTCGGGCTAACGTCAAAACGCGGGACTCACTCGGAGCCGATGAAGAGCCAGCAGAGCCACGCCCACGTGAGCAGCAACGCCAGCGCGCTGACGGGCAAGCACAACGCCAGCCACTTGCCAAAGTCGACGCAGCGGCATTCCGGGTAAATCCTCCAGCGCGTCGATGCCGAGGACGAAAGGGAAGCAACACCTCGGAATCGTCGCGCTTTCACTTTCGATACGCGCCGCGACGCCGGCGACTCACTGGTGAAGGTACTCGGAGAAGATGAGGTTGGGCGACGTTCCCGGCAAGGTCGCGATGCCGCCGATGTTGGAGGCGTAGGCCACGCCGATGCACATGGCCTTGGCCACCATCGGTTCGCTAGGGGGCGCCGTCACACACGCCGCCTGACGGTCATCATTGAAGACATTCAAATTAGCCAGATTGAGTTTGCAACAAGGAATTCACTCGGCACGCCCGCCGGTGAGTCGAGCCACAAAAAAAAAAAAAAAAAAAAAACACACACAAGTAGGAGTCATTGAGTTTTGGCACCTGAGTGGCTTCTGATGTTGATGAAGATGATGATGACGATGTTTCTTCTGGAGGTTTCTGCTCATCCCTGAGACAAAGAAAGAGCAATGCGCATGTTGTTCTTCTGAACGTGCCTGACAAGAAAGAAAAACGTTTTGGAAGAAAAAAGACGTACCCCACAGCTTCATTGTCCTTGTCAACATGGACCACTGCAGGTGAGACACACATACACACACCCCCACACACACACACACAACGGGGATGAACATCTCATTTTTTTCATGGCAATCAACTGCAAAATGAATCACCCGGTGCACCTGCCGCACGCTCACAACCGGAACGGCAGTCCGCGTGCTCCGCCTGCACTGCCGTTTGGGAGCAAATCGACTCGGCTTTGGCGCTCATGTTCGAAGATGAGTCAAAAGAAGATCCTATTTTGCCTGCACCGCCTTCTCCCTCAAAAATGCGCAATGTCTGAATTCAACCAAGAACGAACACCAGAAGCCACTTCGTCCAAAACAATCGACGGTCCCCGAGATGAGTTGAAAGCATCCAATTTCAAAACCAAACGCCTCCCTCAGACCGTCGTGCGTGTTTGTGCGTGTGTGCGTGTTGTTGAGATGGACTTGATTCTTGAAAAAACGTTCTCTTCAACATCACCTCAAACTAATCGAAGGAGGGGCCTCGTTGCCTCGTTGATCAGAGTAACCACAAAGGGTGCAGCAGCACTGATTAAATACAAGCCCCGCCCCCCGACGAAACAGTCATCACTCATCCCAAACAATGTTGTATTCATTTCAAAAGGGCGCCATTGTGCTTTACCAGCCAGTTGCAGGTCGTCGTGCTCCCCGCGGCCCCCTTCGCCGGCTCTCCGGATCTGGCGGAGGACGGCCTCGGCGATGGGCATCACCATGGTCACGGCCGAGGTGTTGTGCACCCACATGGAGAGGAAGCCGCAGCCCGACATGAATCCCAGCGTCAACCAGGCCGGCTTGACGCCCACGGCGCCGACCAGTCGCAGCGCCACCCTGCGGTGGAGCCCCCACTTCTGAATGGAGGTGGCCAGGCAGATGACGCCGATCAGCAGGAAGTGGAAGTCCTTGAAGTACGCCGTCGCCACCTGCTGGACAAATCAAACCATCGCAACAGATATTCTGTTGAGTGACCGGCCTGCTTTGTTTCGTGCCGGGGCAATGGTCGTGTTTGCCGATTTGCTCAATGTGCTCGGCCTCGCTGGGCATTCCTGCCGCGCTCCTGGCGCGTCTGCAAAATTGCTGACAAAAAGTCAATTCGATTTGAGACGGATGAAAAGCCCTCGTCGCTCCTAGCGCGGGTGGTGTGATGTCACTGAGGTTGCTTCGATTGTGGCACGGGCAGAAAAATTCTGCACTCTGCGTACGAGTGCGTCGGAGCTCAACGGATTTTATTCATACGTACGACACCGGGGGTGGGACGATGCCTCTGAATCGCTGTCGACCTCGATTCATTGAGCAAATTCGAAACGTGCTCATGTGAAAAATATTTTTCACGACTGAGAAGAGAGGGCAGTTCACACGTGGACGCCCACGCCACACGCACGGACCACGACTTCATCCGCAAGGGGAGAGCTTGCAGTTTGCTTGCCAACGTGATGTCCGGACTGCAGCCGGTCTGTTCCTGCTACCGAAAAACATAACGCGGTCATAGAACAGTGCTGCCGATACAATGTCAGAAGCACAAATGTCTTACAGACGTTACGAGAACGAATCTTCGCTTCGCTGTCTTTTTCGCGGGCCGCCCCGCACGCGGTCAGAAACAATGTTGAGCCGCGCGACCTTACCGGCAAATTTTTTTTCGTGAGTGTACAATGCACCTGACCTGCGACGACGTCATGATGCCAAACGCGGGAAAGAGGATGGCGGGAAACATGGCGGTGATGGGCAGCGGGATGACTTCGGTGGTCCAGAAGATGGCCATCAGAAGAAGAACGAAGGCGCAATACGACTCCTGACGTGGAGCCGAGCAAGAAGAAGAAGAAGAAGAAGAAGTAGAAGGTGCCGGTTGAGGCCGTCAAGATTTCCAGATGGACGCGCAAACGGATTGCCAGTTAAAGATGATTTCTCGATCTGAACTGGCGAACGCTGCGCGTCGCGCACGCCGTCATGAAAAGACTCGTTATCTCGCGACAAGGCAATCATCAATCAAAGTGAAGATTTTCCAAACATTTTGGAATAACGATTCCTGATCTTTGGCCGCCAGTCTCATTTTGGGAGTTTTCAATCTTCTTGAAACAAACGTCTCCAGCGTTTGGGCGACCGCGCGACCGCGACGATCACCTTGGTGGCGATCATGAGAGGAAGAGGAAGCAACAGCGGCGGCGTCGCCAACATGAAGAGCAAACGCCGATAGTTCCATGCCGCATTCCGCAACTTCCTCCACATGCTGCCTTCCGCTTCTTCTTCTTCTTCTTTTGTCGTCTCGTCGTCCCGCCACGTGCAGACGGCAACTGCAAGACAAGAAACTTTCTTGGATTCCTCCCCACTCCCCCACAATTTAAAACTGTTCACAGAAGACAATGAAAGCCAAAACCAAGCACCCCCCCCCCCACCAGCGCTACAGGCAATCCTTCTGAAGGCGCCACCCCGAAGTTGCGAGTCTTACCTGGGCTCCGGTCAAAAGGGCTTGAAAGCTTGAGGCTTGGTGGGCTCGAGGCAGCGGTCGCCGGTGGGTTTGTCTCCTCGAGCTTCTTATCTTCCGGTTAAACAGTTGCCAGCTCTCACACCCGACGACCTTTAAACTTTGTCTGTTGTCTTCAAGAAGGGCGAGCGGCCGCACCTCACACGCTTCCTGGCAGGCGACGTACGTGTTTTCTGTCTTCTGTACAATCTCCAGATCGTGGCTGGATGGATATGTATCGAATGACATTTCAAATAATTTGAAATAACATTTTATGAACGTGAGAAAAGAATGCGACCCACAAATATCTCGTCGCCCTCAGATGGATTTGGTGGCGTGCGTGAGCAGGATTTCAACTCGAGGTCACGCGCGTGTGGCAAATCAACGCGGCGCTCCTCTCTTTGGAATGTTTGCCGTGAATGTTGGAAGTGCGCCGAGCCCCGATCCAAACGAAGCCTCCCGGCGAGCGGCTCTGATGAAGTCTGCGCTCGTCTCGTTTGCACCGCAGCGTCGCGTATGGTCAAC